TATGGGCTTGGACAAATGTATAATGACATATCCACCATTACAGTGTCGTATATAATAGTTTCACTGCCCCCAAAATTCTGTGTACCACCTGTTCACTCTTCCTTCCTCCAACCCTTAGCAACCACTGATCTTTTTACTATCTCCATAGTTTTGCCTTTTCCAGTGTCATGTAGTTATACTCACACAGTACATAGCCTTTTCAGGTTGGCTTCTTCACTAAGTAATATGCATTTAAGTTTCCTCTACATCTTTTCATGCTTTGATAGCTCATTTCTTTTTAGTGTTGAATAATATTCCGTTATCTAGATGTACCACCGTTTATTTATCCTTTTGCCTACTTAGTTGCTTCCAAGTTTTGGAAATTATTAATAAAGCTGCTACGAATATCTGTGTGCATGTTTTTGGGTAGACATCTTCTTTATTGTTTTTTATTTTATTATTTTTTTTAAGATTTTATTTATTTGACAGAGAGACACAGCGAGAGAGGGAACATAAGCAGAGGGAGTAGGAGAGGGAGAAGCAGGCTTCCCGCGGAGCAGGGAGCCCGATGCGGGGCTCTGTCCCAGGACCCTGGGATCATGACCTGAGCCGAAGGCAGACGCTTAACCGACTGAGCCACCCAGGCGCCCCTCTTTATTGTTTTTTAAAATGTATTTATTTTTATTGAAGTAGAGTTGACATAAAATATTACATTAGTTTCAGGTGTACATCATAGTGATTCAAAAATTATATATTATGAAATGCTAACCATGATAATTGTAGTTACCATCTGTCACCGTAGTTACTCTAACATTATTGACTATATTTCCTATGCTGTAGTTTTCATCCTCTTTTTATCTATTTATTGTGGAAATAATTTTGCAGTATATACATATATCAAGTCATTATGTTGTATGCCTTAAACTAATACAATGTTATATGTCAGTTATACCTCAATAAAACTGTGGTGGGGAAAGAATTATTTAATTCTCAAAGGAAGGATGGAGCCCTAAGTCCATAGTGGTGGTGTTTTTAATAAATTAAGCTATACTTGGCTTCTCAACCAATTCTTATTTACTAATAAGAATTCAGAAAGGAGTAGGAGTGGGTTTTTTTAACATACTTAAAAAAAATTTGTTTGTCGGGGCGCCTGGGTGGCTCAGTCGGTTAAGCATTTGCGTTCAGCTCAGGTCATGATCTCAGAGTGCTGGGATGGAGCCCTGCATCAACTCCCTGCTCAGCGGGGAGTCTGCTTCTCCCTGTCCCTCTGTTGCTCCCCCTGCTTGTGCCCTCTCTCTGTCTAATAAATAAAATCTTAAAAAAAAAATGCTTTCATATACATATTAAAAAAAAAACTATTTGCTTTTTACTTGTTCCCTTCTCTACTTCTGTATGTTCAGATCCTATCTCTTTTTAAAGTTTTATCGACTTGAGAGAAAGAGAGCATGGGGGGGAGGGGTAGAGCGAGAGGGAGAAGCAGGCTCCCCGAAGGCCTTGATCCCAGGATCCTGGGACCATGACCTGAGCCAAATGCAGACGTTAAACCGATTGAGCCACCCAGGTGCCCCCAGATCCTATCTCTTTTTGAAAATCCAACTAAAATGAGAAATTCTACATTTATCAATATAAACTACGTTGTGATCCTCACCATGTGTATTATTTGCTGTTTAGTATGTGACTTTGCTGATATAAAATCATCTTAACAGTTCTTGGACTTATAAACCCAGACAAAATAAGTGTATATTAACCATAAACATTGTACAGATTTCCCAAGTAAGCAAAATGTTGAAAAATCAATAGAAAAGACTCTTTTGAAGAAAACAGGAGCAACAAGAACTCTTATACTTTGCTATACCATGGATTGGTACAACCACTTGGAAAACCAGTTTGACAGTATCTAGAAAATAGGCATGCTTCATAACCTAGCAGTTTCACTCCTAGATATACATAGTAGAGTAATTCTTGTACATGTGTACATATACAAGAATGTTCATAATGGCATGCACAGTTCATAATAGCCAAAAATTATAAACAACCCTAATTTCCATTAACAATAGAATGAGTGATAACTATATTCACACAATAAAAACAAGTGATCTTGTTTATTTATTGTTTTTTATTGTACTACACAAAACATGGTTGAATCCTAAAAATAAATGTTGAAAGAAGACAGAAACAAAATATATAATGTATGATTCTATTTGTATAGTTCAAAAGCAAGCAAAATAAACCATAGCATTTAGGGATGTATATTTAGAGGGTAAAAGCAAGGAAATATTTATTATAACAAGCAAATCAGTAGTTACTTCTTGAAGAAAGGGACTGTGTTAGCAGAGGGAGATAGGCAGGGCTTCTAAAGACATTTATAATGTCTCTTGTGTTTATATGAGCATTTATTTGCTTTATGATTTGTTAATTTATGTATTATGTACTTTTCTGTGTTATATTTCTAGTAAAAACAAACAAGAGAAAAACCAAATGTTTTTTATTGCTCTTTATTTAAAAACATAACCAGATGGACCTTGGTTTTTATATTGTCTGGTTGTTTTTCAGTCTGAAAATAAACATTGGAAGTATATAATTAGCAACAGTGTAATGAAGTCATAGCATTTACAGGATTCTCAAATGGGTACAATATAAAACCTGTTATAAAAATTAGTAAAAGACATAAGATAGAAAATATTTTAATACTGGTACAATGGCAATAGCAGCTTTATAAATGTTTATATATAGGATTTCTATAGCATTTTTTTTTAAAGATTTAATTTATTTATTTGACAGAGTTACAGCGAAAGAGGGAATACAAGCAGGGGGAGTGAGGGAGGGAGAAGCAGGCTTCCCGCTGAGCAGGGAGCCAGATGCGGGGCTCAATCCCAGGACGCTGGGATCATGACCTGAGCCAAAGACAGACACTTAACGACTGAGCCACCCAGGCGCCCCTTCTATAGCATTTTTTAATGAACCCTTATTCCACAAGAATGATCAAATCATCAAATCATTTAAATTAAATTGAGACAGTACACGGCGGTTTATTAATATAAGCATAAGTGCCCCATAAAACACTGTCACAAATACTCAAATGTTTTATTCTCAGTGATCATTCCTTTTATTCTTATATAATATAAATGTAGCTAGCAGGTTTTGTTTTTTGTTTTTTAACTAGAAGTAGGTATGTTTCTTTATTACCTGTTTAATTTTCATTCATAAATATGTTTGTAAACATAAATGTGGGTCTCATAAGAACAAAACATGGCCCCCTGGTCTGCTTTCCAGTCTGGTGACTTTCCACAACACTCTATTTGGCATCTCAAAACATCATTTATCTGTGGATATATAGGCATTTCTGGGAAATCTTTTGTAGCCTATGCTAAAATGATGATATTTCAAGGATATCATCCATGTAGCTGCTTCCTGTCAGGCTAGGAAGTTCAGTGAAGATCTGAAACACCTCATTTCCTATCCATGAGGCAGCTGCTTTCCTATTCTTAGAACTGCAGGGATCAAAGCTAATCCTGAACCTTCAGTCACAGGAACTCACCCTAATGAGAGTTCCTCTTCCTCTGTGATACTTAACACATTAGTAATGGGGATCTTGGCTGGAGCTATAATTGTGTCCACCACTAAGTAGACATGTCTGACAAGCTGGGGGCTCCCAGAAATACTTGGCAACTTTGTAGGGGACTGACCGATAGAGTGACCAGATACAATAAAGAATGCCCCGTTAAATTTGAATTTCATATAAACAATGAATAAATTTTTTAGTATAAATATACAGCTCCCATGCAGTATTTGGGACATATTAAAACTAAAAAACATACCCATTGTTTAACAGGACATATTTATATTTAAAAGTTATTTGTTTTTTATCTGAAATTCAAATTGGCTGTCATATATTTATAATTGCTAAATCTGGCAACCCTGGATGGGCAGGAAAGAACAAAAATCCAGTGAGGTGTGATTACTGTTACTGAAGCTATAAGCTATTGAGGACAGGAATTAGGTCTCACAGAGAATCTGCTATGGACTTCAGATAATCCTTGGCAGGCCACTGTGGAAAATACAAGGTTCATGTTGAGATCCTCGTAAAACTTAAAATTAGCTGCATGAATGTGGACAGAAAATATCAACGAAAGGAATATCTCAGACTTCAGCAAACCAGATACGACTACCTAAATACCATTTCTAACTGCTAGAAATGGTACATTCTAATTTTTAAGGTTATATTGGACATTTTACTTCAAATCCATTTGGAAAATAATTGGGTTGGGATGGAGGACGGTCTTACCTCTTAACTGTTTACAGTAAACAGAAATAAAATATAGAGGATCTTTTTTACTGATCAAGTCTATAGCACTTAGTGAATGCATTAGGTTTACAGGCTGAAATACTTTTCTTTTTGATTACCTGAGAATACGCAAGAAGAATGGGAATCGGGTTATTTCATTTTATTTTTTAAGGAATCAGGTTATTTTCTTTTTTTTTTTAAGATTTTATTTATTTATTTGAGAGAGAAAGAATGAGAGATAGAGAGCACGAGAGGGAGGAGGGTCAGAGGGAGAAGCAGACTCCCCGCTGAGCAGGGATCCCGATGTGGGACTCGATCCTGGGACTCCAGGATCACGACCTGAGCCGAAGGCAGTCGCTTAACCAACTGAGCCACCCAGGCGCCCAGGAATCAGGTTATTTTCTTAATGTCAAAACTGCACCTACTTAGTATAAATTTGTTATCTAGTTAAATTTGAACAACCTCTCCAACCTAAATTGGGTAATTCCAGAAAAAACTTCACTTTGGGGAATGCATTTTCCCATCTGTTCTCTTATTGATCATGCAAACTAAAAAAATACCCAAATACCCACTTTATACCACAGTATGTATGGGGGCTCCATACATACTTTAATTCTTCAAATGGAATTATATATTAGTATAATTATACACACCCTACTACATTAAAAAAAAAGGGTCGGGGTGATTTTATCTGTGTATTTTATGGATCATCATGTGGTGTCAGGCAGAGTTGGCATCAGTTTTGTTCATCAAAGCTGCTTGTAGAAAGTGGCAGGGTTTGAGTTGGGCTTCTAGGGTGAGCCATCTATGAAAAAAAAAAAGGGTTCCAATTATAATATGAATTATGTTCCTGTGGCCAACACAGATCTCCTTCCTCACTAACAGAATCCAGATTTTGTGCAGGGCAGCAATACAGCCAGACTCTAAAAACCGCTTTTCCCAGTTTTTCTGATATAATTAGAAGGTGGATAGAACCTGTTTAAAGAGAAGAGTGGTAACTAAGCATAACCTTTTTTCCTTTGCCTTTTTCCTTATCTTGCCTAGAATGTGGACGCTGGGCTTCAGGAGGTGTAGGCATTCTTTACCATTAGAATAAAAGCCACACATTAAGGATGGAAGAGCAGGGATGACATGTGAAGCTGCTGTCCCAGTTATGGCCTGCCTACTTCCCAAAGGAATATGTAGGTAAGAAAAATAAGCCCCTACTCGGTCAAGCCACAATGGTCAGATTTTTGTTACCTAATGCAAAAGCAAATTTTGTTACCAAATGCAAAACCTAACTAATACAGTTGCTTCAGACTTAAACGAAAAAGGAAGCCTAAGGACTGGGCGGGGGTGGTGGTGGTGAGGGGGGGGTGAAGTCATTTTATGTCGAACAACCATTTTTAAAAAACTTCCTCCTACTAAGTGGATTTTGGTGAATACCTCATATGGCAGATATCTTTTCTGGGATTTTTGATGTTGTTGCTCAATATGTGTGCTTATTATTTATCGTATTTTCATTTTTTTCCACATTACTCAACTCATTATAGTAATTATGGGGTAGGGCAGGGACAAAAAAGAATCCCAAAGCTGAACAAAGAAAGGAAGGGCCTTAGTCCTTCAGTGAGGCCTCTGCCTTCTGCCCCCACCCTTCATAATTTGTGGTATCACCAAGGAATGTGATCTGGGGGTAGACTCCCTACTGGATGCTCCAAAAGGAGGAAAGAGGTATGTGGCCACACCTCCAAAGAAGGCAGTGTAGTGTCCAGGAGGATAAAGTTGATTGGCAAGAAGGAAACCAAGCTGTTTGCAAAAGGCACTGATTCTTAATGAGGAAACAAAGGGAGGACAGTGTTGGGTTGGCAAAGTGTCAGCAGTGAAGTCCGTGGTGTATCTCTATCTCCAGAGGGATTTGGAAATGCAAGCTTCATAGCCAAAGGGGCCAGCAGCCCTGTGTCCCAGCACTCTAGTAGGAGTGGCAGAAGGATGGCAACTCCCCACAGATCCAGTGACAGAAGTGAACAGGGAGATGACAGACAAAAGGGTTTGGAAGAAATCACATCAGGCCCCACTGATATACTAGATTTTGGTGTATGGGTCATACATGTAGGTGACAAAGAAGAAAGCTGCTGAGACCTTTTCCTATCAACTGCACGATCTGTTCCCTATCTATATCTCCATCCCTGTCTTTCACCACTGTCAGACTTGCTCTCTATGTTACAGCTGCTTTGGCCCCTTTTCAGTTTCTCAGTTAGGCCATGATCCCCCCACCATGAGACCCTTGCATATACTGTTCTTTTTGCCTGGAGCTCTTTCTTCCCAGACATCCATGGTGGGCGCACCACCTTATCCCATAGGTACCCTTCCCAGTTAACACCTATTCATCCTTCAAGTCTCACTTCATCACTTCCTAAGGGAATCCTTCCTAGATCACCCAGGCTAGATAAAGTTCCTCTATGGGTTCCCACAGAACTCTGTTCCTTTCCTTTATAGTACTTATCTCAGTGTAGAATTATACAAGTATGTGATTATTTGACTAATGTCTATTTTCCCCACTAGGCTAAAAGCTCCAACACTGTTAAGCTAGGTTTGTTTTTGCTTACCACCATATCCCTAGTACTCCAGCACAGTGCCTGGCATATGGGAAGTGCTTGATAAATACTTATCTAAAGGAATTAACAAAACCAGACATTCATGGTTAAAGTAGAGATGATAATGTTAGCTACATCACAGAATTTTATAAAGCCTAAATATGAAAGTGTTTTGTAAAGCATAAGGTGCCATTTAAAAATTATTATAAAAAAGATCCTTTGGTTTATATGATTCTAAATAAATGATTTTGAAGAAAAGGAAACTTTTTTTTCCCCCCTAAAGGTTTACCTGAAACTTTCTCCTCAAGGCCTGGGTCATTACTGGAGTCAGCCCAGTTCCTGTTTCCATATTTTCTTTATTGGTAAGTGGGGTTCCACCTGGGCTCCTGCAAAGGTACTGACAATATTAGAAGCTGTGTTTTATGCTAACTTTTCAAATGTATTTAGAAAGCATAAAGATAAGAGAGTGTATTACCTCTCTACATCAACTTTTCTAAGTAGTTTCCGCAGATCTATTTGGCTTTTACCAGGGGTACTGATGAAATAAAGATATAAAAGTTAGAGCTTGCCAGACTTTATCATCTTTCCCAAAGCAAAGCAGCCATTTCTATAGGCAATGTCCTAGAAAGTAGTTCTATTTGTTACATTAAAATATAGCAGCAGAGGGGCACCTGGCTGGCTCAGTCAGTAGAGTTTGTGACTCCAGATCTCGGGGTCGTGAGTTCAAGCCCCACGTTGGGCGCGGCGCCTACTTAAAAACAAAAATAGCTATAGATGCTGATAGGAGTATAAGGTGACATAATTGTCCTAATAAGTAATAAGTAATACATCTTGACTCAGTAATTATACATATAAGAATCCATCTTAGGGAAAGACTCAGCTATGCACACAGATGGTGGACAAGGATGTTCACTGAAGAGTTAGAAATAAAAAAATCATAAACAACCTAAATGTCTCAGAACAGGAGTTTATCTATGAAATTTGCATTTAATGTACTATATATACAGAAAAAGTCAAAATGGTGCTTTAAAGTGATTTTTAATAAGATGGGGGAAAGTTCTTGACACATTAAACGGGAAAAGCCTTAACTGTATGTACAGTACAATTACACACAGGTACACAAACACGTACGCATGTGTACACACACACATGATTTCACCGAATCCAAGACATACTAGTTTTCATATTTTATTATTTCTGAAATTGGGCTGTTTTAAAAAGTCTTTTTTTTTTTTTCCTTTTTTAAGTAATCTCTATCCCCAACATGGGACTCAAACTCATGACCCAAAGATCTTCCGACTAAGCCAGTCAGGCACCCCTAAAAAAATCTTGATATTATTTCTTTTCCTCCCAAATCCATTTATTTTTATTTTACTTTATTTTATTTTATTTTTAAAGTAATCTCTGTGCCCAGCTTGGGGCTCGAGCTCACAACTGGAGATCAAGAGTCACATGCTCCACTGACTAAGCCAGCCAGGCGCCCCGCGCCACCCCTGCCCCCAAATCCACTATTAAATCAATGGTGTATTGTATAATAAACAGCATCATGAAATGGAAATAATAGAGTAGATACCTGCACAAAGACTAGAATGATAAACAACAGTATGTTAATAATAGCTATCTTCAATCATACCGTTATTTGAATGATTTTTTCTTTTTTTTTTAATTTTTGAAGATTTTATTTATTTATTTGAGAGAGATAAGCAGGGGGAGGGGCAGAGGGACAAGCAGACTCCCCTCTGAGATCATGACCTGAGCTGAAGGCAGATGCTTAACTGACTGAACCACCCAGGCACCCCCGTTTTCTTCTTTAAACTTTTCTGTGGATTTCCAGTTTTCTACAACGAGCATATATAACTTTTAAAGTTAGAGATAAGCAAAAAAATCATTCTTTTAAGTAACAGTAGAGCATAACACAGTGTAGTTCCTTACATCAAGACATTTGTAACTCGAGTTGATAGCACTTTGGAGTTGGGCTTCAGGGTGACACGCTGCAGGTCAGAGACAGTAACTAGTGGACTCTGTGCCTTTGGTGATGGTACAGGCTTTAATCACAAAATGAGACAGTATCAAAAAACACACTTAAAAATATCATTCAAAATGTAAACATGCTGCAACAATGAATACTTGAATGCTGAGTATGTGTACGATAATATCCACTACTCAATTTTTATTTCAAAGCTTCAAAGTATGTCTCTACTTCTTTAGACTAATGGTTGGTAGATAAAACTGCCTAATTAAGTAATTTTGGGATCTACACATTTTGTTGAGGAGATCCAAAACTACTCAATTAAAACATCAAATACTTACCAGTACATGAGACTTATGTTTATTTTCCAGAAAGGGACAACCAGGTTAAAAGCTGAAAGATCATGTGTATGGTCAGTGACATCTTACCTTCTTCCTTTCATCAAAACACTGTGTCTTCTTTAATTTCACAGTCAGCAGATCTTCAACTGTTATCTGCATGGGTCCCTCTTTTTTTAATGGTCCAGGCTTAAAATACATGGAGAGGTTAGAATTCCAGTTGTAACCAGGATATCTAGTCAAATGCAAATCCAAATCTAGTTTTATTTTATTTTATTTTTTAAAGATTTTATTTATTTGACAGAGAGAGACACAGCGATAGAGGGAACACAAGCAGGGGGAGTAGGAGAGGGAGAAGCAGGCTTCCCGCTGAGCAGGGAGCCTGATGTGGGGCTTGATCTCAGGCCCCTGGGATCATGACCTGAGCCGAAGGCAGACGCTTAACAACTGAGCCACCCAGGCGCCCCCAAATCTAGTTTTTAAAAACTCACTTAAAAACTAACTCTTATTTACCCTAGGAACCTATCAAATTCTTTTCATTAAAACAAGAATGATCCTGTTTTCAGTACCCATGGATGCTACTGCTATTGTAAAGTATTCATCAAAATGTAAGGCTTTGACAATAAATAAGAGATGGGCCAGTTCCCTGTAACTATGCACCTTCCTCAGGGGTCATGATAATAAGACAAGAGTTGAAGGAGTTCCTCACATCAAGGTGAAGTTTTGCCTGAATTACCTAAAAAGTTGACTCAGTTCCCGGAGAACAAGAATATACAGTCAGAGGGATATGCATTATGGCAAACATAATAATAGGCTCTGGATTTAACCCAGCCATTTTATTTATTTATTTTTTAAAGATTTTATTTATTTATTTGACAGAGAGAGACACAGTGAGAGAGGGAACACAAACGGGGGAGTGGGAAAGGGAGAAGCAGGTTTCCCACGGAGCAGGGAGCCCAATGCGGGGCTGGATCCCAGGATCCTGGGATTATGACCTGAGCCGAAGGCAGACGCTTAACGACTGAGCCAACCAGGGACCCCTAACCCAGCCATTTTAAACCAGATGTATCTGGAGTGAAAATTCAGCAGATTTTCAAACAGGGTCATGCTTATCTTAGTGATTCACAAATATTCCCTTGGTGGATAAGTAATTAATGGAGACTGGTCCTTCAGCTTAATGACATTATACTTTAGGATCCACCAACTCTTTTTATTCTGACTTTACTCACTAAGCCACCTTCTCTTCTTAATTTGGTTTCCCAGGGAGGTTTTTCTTTTGGTAAAAAGATATTCTGAGAAGCCATTAGGAATATTCTGATCTACTAGTTTTCATTCATTTATCCTTTAAAAAAAAATTGCTTTTCTTTCTAAATCCAGTTCCTACAGGCCTGAGTTTTTAAAAACCTAATCACTGACATAATTAAGATACGGAATCAGAAAAGAAAAAAAAAATGCAGCTTTCCTCTCAACGCCCTTAGCGTCATCTCGAAAAGCCACCTTGCTTTACTCCTACATTTGACACTGGCCAAAACACGTCATTACGAGGTTGTTTCCTACCTGAAGTGCTTTAGTGCAATCAGATCTTCTGAGCGGCACAGGTGCTGTAGGTGGTGGTGGCGGAGGCAGAGGAGGAGGTGGGGGGGGTGGTGGAGGCATAGGGGGAAGGTGGCTGGATGGCTGCGGCAGCGTGGGAGGAAGTACAGCTCGAGATTCTCCAGGGGTGGTTAGCACACCGGCGGGTACGTTTGTAAATGTTCGACCACAGCTTGGGCAGGAAGATTTTTCAGAGACAGTCTGTAAGAAAACATTACATTTAGCAAATGAATAGCAGATTAATTTGGTTCTTCTGGCTCAGCGTCATCGAGATAATAGCTACCATGTATTGAATGCTTTCTCAGTGTACTACGTGTTTTTTAGTATTTTCTCATTTATCGCAAGCCCATTCACTCACTCATCCGTTCACTCGCGTATTTGTGTGTGCAATATGCCAGGCACTGTGGGTACAATGTGCACCCTGTCTGTGACATCATGGAGCTGACAGTCTGGTAAGGAAGGCAGACATTAAACACACACACGCCCAGAACAAAACAAAATAATGCTTCAGTGCAAACAATGAAGTGTGCTGTGGGCATGAATAGTGAGAAACCTGGAGAGAGATATTTAGCCATAATCTCAAGGATGAATTGCAATTTATCAGCTCTCAAGGGAGATAAGGTCTGGGGAAAAAGACTCCCCCCCTCCCCAAATTCATATGTTGAAGCCCTAACCTTAGTCCCTCAAGATGCCTTTGGAGATAGGGCCTTTAAAGAGGTGATTAAGTTAAAACGAGGCCGTTAGAGTGGGCTCTCATCCAATTTGACTGGTGTCCTTATAAAAAGAAGAAATTTGAACATACAGGAGAAACATCAGGGTTGTGTGTGTAGAGACAAGACCATCTGAGGACACAGTGAGAAGGCAAGCCGAAGGAGAGAGGCCTAAGAAGAAACTAACTCTGCCAACACCCGGATCTCAGACTTTTAGCCTCTAGAACTGTGGGAAAATAAATTTCTGCTATATAAACCACCCAGTCCATGCCACTTTATTATGGCAGCCCTGGGAAATGAAAAATAACCCTATGGAATAAGATGGTGTATTGGTTTCCTATGGCTTCTTTATCAAATTATCACAAATTTGGTGGCTTAAAACAATTGGAATTCATTTTTTTCACAGTGCTGGAGGCTAGAAGTCTAAAACCAAGATGACAGCAGGGCTGTGCTACCTCCCAATGCTCTAGGGAAGAATCTGTTCCCTGCCTCTTCCTGTTTTTGGTAGCTATGGTCATTCCTGAGCTTGAGACTACATCACTCTAATCTCTGCCTGTGCTCCCACTGTTCTTCCTCTCCTGTGTGTGTGCTCTGCTCTCTCTTTTATAAGGACATTTGTCATTGGATTTAGGGTCTACTCAGATAATAGAGTATGATCTCCTCATTTCAAAATCCTTAACTTAAGGGGCACCTGGCAACTCTTGATCTCGCGGTCATGAGTTCAAGCCCCATGCTGGGTGTAGAGATTACTTAAAATAAAAAATCCTTAACTTAATTACATGGGCAAAGACCCTTTCCCCAAATAAGGTCATATTTATAGGTTTCAGGGATTAGGACTTGGACATATCTTTTGGAGGCCATTGATTCAGCCTACCAAAGATGGTATCATCCTCATTTTTAGAAGAGGATACTCAGGCCTAGATGATGAGTGAGGTGATTTGCCTTTCTTCCTGTCTAATTCATCTTGAGGTACGTATTCTAGGACAAGGGTGTAATCCCAGAAGCTCCACTGCAAACCAACAAGTGCAATGTTTATTTTTTGAGTTTTACACATTGAGAATAGGGGCCTTGCTTAGGGGAGTTTGGAGACGGTGGATATTTATGGCTTTTCCTGCCTCTATCAGTCAAGAAAATAGAAATCATCCTGAGTATTTAAAAGAGGGTGAAGGTAGGGGCACCTGGGTGGCTCAGTCATTAGGCATCTGCCTTCGGCTCAGGTCATGATCCTGGCATCCTGGGATTGAGCCCCACATTGGGCTCCCTGCTCTGTGGGAAGCCTGCTTCTCCCTCTCCCACTCCCCCGGCTTCTGTTCCCTTTCTCACTGTCTCTCTCTCTCTGTCAAATAAATAAATAAAATCTTAAAAAAAAAAAAAGAGGGCAAAGGTAATGTGGGAGAGTTGGTTACATTGATGGTGAAAGAGCTGAAAACATGCAGGGAACATTGAGGCAGCCCAGAGATTAGCAACAGCAAAAAGCCATGAATACCCTGAGGCTGGAGGGGAAAAGGGAAGAGCAGTGTAACCAGATCTCTAGAGGTGGGTTAACCCAGACAATCAAGAAACATGGTAGACTTACCTGGAGGGAGCTGGAGTGAGGGAGATAACAATAATCATCACTGGAGAAACTGCCCAATGCAGAGAACAAAGGGGAAAAACACACTCCCTCCATACGGCCACCAGTCTCTCATCAGTGTCTCCCATTAGCCAAGCACAACGAGAACCAGGTGACACAGAGCTTGGGACACACAGCCTGCATGGGTTAACCCCAGTGCAGTGCAGAGCAGAGCCTTGAAGCCTAAGGAATAGATCTGCGGGCAAACAGGCCCAAGACTAGCACCTGCCTGTAGCCATTCCTCCTTCTGGTGAAAGCAGCATGCTGGTATTCCTATGGGGGATAAACCCTGCCCTCCCTCCCTGATTCCGGATTTCTTTTTATTTAACAATACCAACCTTCAGTGTTTCCTGGAGCTTGCATAATTCACTTTCCAAAACGCAAAACCGTTGTTTTAGACTGTGAAGTTCTCGGTGGCAGAAACGGGATGGAAAGATGGTGTCTTTCAATACTTCTAAACTCTGAAATTCAAAATTAAACAAGTCTGAAATCTATAAGTAACATGATCAGGACAAGAAAAAAGAGAGAAAAAAGCGGTTTGATGTATGTTTTACAGAAGCAAAGACCTACATGACCGCATAATTTCATCTTACCTGAGCTTAGCTTTAGTGTTGTGCTGACCTGAGCACACACACATGCGAACACACATACCAAGTATGCAGAAAAACCATATTGCTGAAAACGGGTATGTCAAACCCATACCTGGGCCATGCAGTTCTGGCACCAGTGGTATATAGACCACATTCTATTTGTCCAAAGTTTTACAGTATCTTTGATATTGGGAAATCTGAAGTTCCAGGATGGTCTTAGCCAGCTTCTGCTAAGGGATGTATCTGCTGAAGGAATAACCACTCTGTAGGAAAAACAAAACCAAACCAATAAAAAACTCCTGAGTTGATTAACAGCTCTATTTATTTATTTATTAAAGTATTTTTAAAAAAGATTTTATTTATTTGACACAGAGAGAAAGAGCACAAGCAGGGGGAGCAGCAGCGAAGAGGGAGAAGCAGGCTTCCCGCGGAGCAGGGAGCCCGATGCGGGGCTCGATCCCAGGACCCTGGGATCATGACCTGAGCCGAAGGCAGACGCTTAACTGACTGAGCCACCCAGGTGCCCCTCAAATAAATAAATCTTTAAAAAATAAAATAATTGGGGCGCCTGGGCTCCCTGCCTGAGACTACATCAGCCGTGGAGACTACTTAAAAAAATAAAAAAAGAAGAAGAAGAAGCTAGCAATACAAATATCTGGGAGAAGACCCTTCCAGGCAAGGGTAATAGTAAGTGCAAAGGCCCTGAGATAGCAGCTAGTCTGAGGTGTCTAGGGAACAGCAAGGAGGCTAGGATGACTGGGGTGGAGAAACTGAAGGGTAGGGGATTAGGAGATAATGTCAGAGTCAGATCATAATGGCCTTGTAAGTCATACAAAGGATTTTAATTCTGACTCTGAGAGAGGAAGACATTGGAGAATTTTTATTTATTTATTTTTATATAATCTCTACACCCAACACGTGGCTTGAACTCATGACCCCGAGATCAAGAGTCACACACTCTTCCAACTGAGCCAACCAGGTGTCCCAGGAAAGACATTGGAGAGTTTTAAGCAGAGAGGCAATATGACATGTTTTTTAACAGGCTCACTCTGACTGTTCTGCAGAAATATGCTGCAGAGGGGCAAGGGCAGAAGCAGGAAGTCCAGTTAGGGACTGTTTTCAATATTCAAGAGAGATAAAGAAGAGGTAAGGATAATATGATGGTTAATGCTTTTTTTTTTTTAAAGATTTTATTTATTTATTTGACAGAGAGAGAGAGACAGCGAGAGAGGGAACACAAGCAGGGGGAGTGGGAGAGGGAGAAGCAGGCTTCCCGCAGAGCAGGGAGCCGACGCGGGGTTTGATCCCAGGACTCTGGGACCATGACCTGAGCCGAAGGCAGATGCTTAATGACTGAGTCACCTAGGCGCCCCTGGTTAATACTTTTTGAGGACGAGTTTATTTTAAAATTTTTTCTGTAAAGAGAGCTATAACAACAAAATGTATACTGTACGTCATTGTGAAACCCAGTATCCTAGGCTTCCTATAACTTAGAGTCTCTTTCAGTAACATGTTTAAATCTGCATCCCAGAGACTAACTGACCAAACTTTACCAAAACTAAGATTTAAATTCCAGTCATACACCTCTTTCATCACTTAGTTATCAGATTTATACAATTAAACTGACTAGGGAAGGAGAAAATAGTTACTGTGCATCTCCAATACAATTTCTTGTGATTTGTACTTCATTTAAACTCTTTTTTTTTTTTTTTAGGATTTTATTTATTTAGGGGCGCCTGAGTGGCTCAGTCGTTAAGCATCTGCCTTCGGCTCAGGTCATGATCCCAGGGTCCTGGGATCGAGCCCCGCATCGGGCTCCCTGCTCCGTGGGAAGCCTGCTTCTCCCTCTCCCACTCCCCCTGCTTGTGTTCCCTCTCTCGCTGTGTCTCTCTCTGTCAAATAAATAAATAAATAAAATCTTTAAAAATATGTATATTTTATTTATTTATTTGAGAGAGAGGAGTGGGGGAGGGGCAGAGGGAGGTAGAAGCAGACTTCCCGCTGAGCAGGGGGCCCAGAAGAGGACCCTGGGATCATGACCTGAGCTGAAGCCAGATGCTTAACCAACTGAGCCACCCAGGCGCCCCTAAACTCTTAAAACAATGATCACCACATAAAATTTAGAATGCTCAATCAAAATTTAATTTCTGATGAGGGATGAATAATATTTTAGTGTAAGTATCCTGTAAATGTTGCATGGGACAATATTAAAAAATATTTTTTATCTGAACTTTAAATTTAATTGGGCATTCTGTATTTTTATTTGCTAAATCTGGTGACCCTGTCCTTAATGGATCAGATTTTTAGTATTTTTTCTTTTCCACACTTACGCCTTACCTTTCTGGTGAGGGTGGCGGAGGAGGAGGTGTAATTAGCTTGGGCTGAAAGTGAGAGGCTTCTCTTTTTTTGAATAATCTTTTTGCTTTGGCTTTTAGCTTTCTTCTTCGTTGCTTGAACTTGGGCATGATTTCTGTAGAGAAATTTTTTTTTTACATTTTTTATTTTAGAATAATATATACATATAGAAAATGTAAAAATCTTAACTGTACAGTTCAATGAATTATCCAAGTGAACACACCCTTGTAACCACCATTTGGTTAGGAAATGAATCGCTACTAGCATCCCAGAAGTCCCCTGAAGTGAAGAAAAATTTAAAACCAGATTTTAAAGTTTCTTTAGAGACTTGGCTTGGCATTACATCATTCTCTAATTTTGTTTTGCTTGTCTTGCTTTTCTTCATTAAGTCAAGTGTATTTCCATTTCTTGTAAGAGAGAAAATAGCTATAGTTGGGTTATGGTCAGTTATTAAAAGAAGTTTCTTTCCAGTAACATTTACTGAGCACCCACTGTGATAGATGGAGTTGGTAGAGGAAGAAACAAATTTTTAACCATTGAATGTCCATTTGCTTTTGGGCACCTTCACATACACTTTCTCAGTGAATCCTCACTACCCTGCAAGATTTTATCCCTGAGGAAGAGGATTTTTATTCCCATTTTTACATTAAGAATAAACTGAGACACAGAAAGATTATGTGATTTGCCAGTGTAATGCAGTAAATAAATCTCTGAAGACCGTGTTCTTTCTAACACTCTGTGGTGCAACAGTTGATTAAATAGGTGATATACAATGTAATAGCAGTTACCCCAAATATTTCAAAACATTTATTTTAAAGCATTTTAAAACACTATCTAGTGTATTTAGATTTTAATCTAGATCCTTTTCTGAAGAAAATTAAGTTAGAGCTAGTTTGATGTGAAGAAGGGCTTTGCTGGTCGCTGTTGTTGCTACCTGAGGAACAAAGATGTCATTATTCAAGTAGCGGAACTAAAAATGGTCTCAGGGGCTGGGCCTCCTTCCCTTCAAACTCACATTTGAATAGGAACAATTGGCCTTTAAAATTCACATTCATTCCACTTTTGTTCACCCAGTGACCTTTCAATACTTGGTATGCAGGTCTAGGCTTGCTCAGCTCTCAGATTGCACTGGCTGACGAACCTCCTTTTTTAACTGGCTGTGGGTTGTAAAAACTCCGAAGTGGCTTACTGCAGTTCTAAGAGCTTTGGTCTTGCAGAGGGTACCCCTAATGGCAATGGGTGACAGTGCATATTACCAACAGCCCTTCTAGGAGGAAGGGTTCTCAGTAGCATCTTACTGAACTAATGCCAGGTCTCAAACTAGCAATTTTCCTTAATTGTTCTTAGAGACATGGGAGATATACGCCAAAAAATAGTTAGCTGACTTCACTTGTATTATATCACTTCTTCCTGCTGAAATAATGAAAGAAGGCTAAGCAGGGATTATTAAATTACAAAGTATATCTAAAGGATTCATTGATTTTTTTTTTAAAACAAACTTAACACAAAACTAAAATACTCTGAATGAAGATGTTTAGGAGAGCCTCAGAGGAAGCAGCAATCTTGCTGTTGCCTGAAAAAAAAGATTAAACCTCATCAAATCCATGCCCACGACTTTCTATGGAGAGATGTTATTGAGAACCTCTACCCAAGGTCCAGAGTTCACCGGGTGAAACCTCCAGAATCTGAGACTTCCATGCTAACTTCTTCCTTGTCTTCCATCTGCCCCTATGCAACCCTCCCCCATTCTGTTCCCTCTCTCCCTTTGATGTCTTTTATTAGACATCAAACTGACACAGATAAGTGGCCTCCTGCCTTTTTTTTCCCCCCTATATTCACCAATCTCTCAGTTAGAAAAATAGACTTTAGAAGGGAGATGGACATTCTGCCTTAAACTTGGTAGACTGTCTCCATACCTTTCTCTCCACTCCAGTGGTGTGCTGGGGTTGGCAACAACTGATATATTTTCAGGAAGTCTGTGAGTTAGTTCTTAAACCCATCCACCATTAAAATTAAATTATATAAACTTATAATTAGGTAATTTATATTTAAGATGGTAATAAAGGGGCGCCTGGATGGTTCAGTTGGTTAAGGGTCTGCCTTCGGCTTGGGTCCTGATCTTGTGGTCCTGGGATCGAGTCCCACATCGGGCTCCTTGCTCAGCGGAGAGCCTGCTTCTCCCTCTGCCTGACGCTCCCCCTGCTCATGCTCTCTCTCTCTCACTCATGCTCTCTCTGACAAGTAAATAAATAAAATCTTAAAAAAAATAAAATGATAATAAATATGATGTAAAACTCATCACTTCCTAATGATTTTACTATTATCTATGCTCTTGCGGTTGTTTACCTTATTGTATCTATATAGTGAAAATGCTATAAAATGTTCATTTCTTTCCAATTCCACATTCAGTGACTTCACGTTGAAAACTTGAAATTGGCTATGATGGGAGTATTTACACCATGGATATTATAAAACACCACAAATCAGGGCTTGATTCATTATGTTGTTGATTGTTAAGGGAGTGATAAAGAAAATGTTAATAATGCAGATCAGATTTAAAAGCATATCTTGGGGGCACCTGGTTCACTCAGTTGGTTAAGCATCTGCCTTCAGCTCAGGTCATGATCCCAGGCTCCTGGGATCGAGCCCCATGACCAGCTTCCTGCTCAGCGGGGAGTCTGCCTCTCCCTACCCCATCCCCCCAGCTCCTGTGTGTGCACAGTCTCTCTCTCTTTCTCTCAAATAAATAAATAAAATCTTTTTAAAAAGTGTGTATCTTGTCTGTAGTTGTTACATTATAAAAAGCATAAAATAATTGAGTAATATTCCGGTATTTGAAAATGATTATTTGATTCATCAAAGAAGTTGCTTACATAATTGAAATGAAGTTCCAATATAAATCTTTGGTTTGCTTTATCTTATTCCATAGAGTAAATGAAAAGATCAACTGACATTCCTATCAGGACTATACTTGTTTATAAATTGGAACCATAGCAGGGCATCTGGGCGGCCCAGTCCGTTAAGTGTTCAACTTTTGATTTCGGCTCAGGTCATGATCTCCGGGTTGTGAGATCAAGCCCCAAGTGGGCTCCATGACCAGCTCAGAGCCTGCTTGAGGTTCTCTCCCTTCTCCTCTGCCCCTTCCCTCTCTTGCTCTCTCTCTAAAATAAATAAATAAATAAATAAATAAATAAAATCTTAAAAAAAGTAAATTGGAGGGGCGCCTGGGTGGCTCAGTTGGTTAAGCGACTGCCTTCGGCTCAGGTCATGATCCTGGAGTCCCGGGATCGAGTCCCATGTCGGGCTCCCTGCTCAGCAGGGAGTCTGTTTCTCCCTCTGACCCTCTTCCTTCTCATGCTCTCTGTCTCTCATTCTCTCTCTCTCTCTCAAATAAATAAATAAAATCTTAAAAAAAAAAAAAAAGTAAATTGGAACCATAGCTTGGCTACAGATACAAGAAGTCTGTAAAAATCAACAACAGTATTCTCTGAGAATCAACTGTATATGAAATTTATAGAAACATTATAGGGGCGCCTGGCTGGCTCAGTCATTAGAGCATATGACGCTTGATCTAAGGGTTGTGAGTTCAAACCCCATGTTGGGTATAGAACTTACTTAAAAAAAAGCATTATATATATTTTATTATTGTTTATAATTTTTTATTTCCTGTTATTAGTAAATTTATAATAAAATTATGCATATGTATCTATTAAACATTTATTAGCACACTATTGGTCCAATCCCTTCTGAAACGTAACAAAAAAAGGCAGTAAAGGAGCAGTGAATATATTTCCCTTTCTTTCTTTTTTATTTTTTTTAAAGATTTTATTTATTTATTTGACAGAGAGACACAGTGAGAGAGGGAACACAAGCAGGGGGAGTGGGAGAGGGAGAAGCAGGCTTCCCGCTGAGCAGGGAGCCCGGTGCGGGGCTTGATCCCAGGACCCTGGGATCATGACCTGAGCTGAAGGCAGACACTTAACGACTGAGCCACCCAGGTGCCCCCAAATTTTTATTTTTTTTAAGAAGTCTCTACACCCAGGTTGAAGTTGAACTTATAACCCCAAGATCAAGAGTCACACATTCGACCGACTGAGCCAGCCAGGTGCCCCAAGGAATAGTGAGTATAACATAATGTATAGAGTTGTCAAATCACTACATTGTACACCTGAAGCTAATGTAGCTTTCTGTGTCAGCTCTGCTTCAATTAAATTAAAAAATAAAAAAAGAGGGGTGCTTGGGTGGCTCAGTTGGTTAAACATCTATTTTTTTTAAATAAAGATTTTTATTTATTTATTGAGAGAGAGAGAGAACGGTAGAGAGAGAGCATGAGCAGGAAGGTCAGAGGGAGAGGCAGACTCCCTGCTGAGCAGGGAGCCCGATGCGGGACTCGATCCTGGGACTCCAGGATCATGACCTGAGCTGAAGGCAGTCGCTTAACCAACTGAGCCACCCAGGCACCCAATATCTAACTATTGATCTTAGCTCAGGTCTTGATCTCAGGGTCATGAATTCAAGCCTCACATTGGGCTCCACACTGGGCATGGAGTCTACTTAGAGAGAGAAAGAAAGAAAGAGAAAGAGAGAAAGAGAGAAAGAAAGAAAGGAAGGAAGGAAGAAAGGAAGAAAGGAAGAAAGAAAAAGGGCAGTAAGGAATAAAAAAAATCATAAACCCATCAAACAAAGAATGGGAGCAGACTATGGGAGATGATGAATGTTGACTAAATTATGGAAAATGGAAAGCAGTTGGATGAGTTGGCAGAGCAGAAGAAAGCGGAGCTTTGACTGCCTGTGGTAGGGAAGCCAACTGGAAGCAAGACAATTCTCAGAAACTTTAAGTAAGAGGATTCTGGACTTGAAGGCACCTAGAACCTTGAAAATTTGGGGTTAAAATAGGATTAATTAAGTCTTTATAAGGATTGGATAGGCCTCTGGAGTCTGTCTTCCAGTCCTTGTAGCCAGGCAGCTCCTGGCATTTATGTCCTCTCCAGTAAAGATGGATAGGTTTGTTCTCTGGAGAAGGTGAACCATAGAGGTGCTGAATTGTGGGCCATGAGGCATAGCAATAGCACAGTCATGTGTCATCATTCAGAAGGTAGGGGGTGATCCT